CGAGGAGGAGCGATTTGGGGGATGCAGCGGCAGAAGGAGGGGATCATGCGGAGGGCCAGGGCGGGGCAGGGGCGCAGCAGGAGGAGGAGGAGGAGGAGGAGGAGGAGGAGGAGGAGGAGGAGGAGGGGGAGGAGGAAGAGGAGGAAGAGGAGGCAGAGGGCGAAATCGGGGAAGGAAGGGCAGGAGGGGGAGGAGGGGCCTTACGAAGGAGGAGGAGAAGGAGGAGGAGGAGGAGGAGGAGGAGGCGCAGGAGGAGGCCGGAGGCGGAGGCGGAGGCGGGCAAGAGGAAGGAGGAGGACGACGTGCAGAGGGGATGAGGAAGAGGCGCCGAGAGGGACGTCGGAAGTCTTATCTCCGTAAGTTCTTCTGCCCAGCCAATTCGTTTGTTCCTTCGGTACCCCTGCTCTCCCAGTCATGCACCCTGTCTTCGGTGTCCGATGTTCGATTCGGTCGCATCGTCCGCGGCTCCAGCGGAAGGACTTCGTCCATTGACCACAGGGCGCTGCGACCCGCTCCTGACCAATCGGCGACGAGACGCTGGCAGCGAGCTTCTTCGGTGGCGTGTGCTGGCCTCGGCCTCACCTCCGAGAACAACTGCACGAGCATGAATCACTGGTGCCCCGTGCGCATGGCTTGGATCGACGCTGGGCCCCCCTGGCAGCGCCTCCGGCGCCGCCCTTAGCGCGCGCCGCGCGCGTCCCTGGCGCGCGCCGCGCGCCAGTGAGGGGGGATCCAGCGACGATCCAAGACATCTGCGCGGAGCCCCGCGCAGGTTGTGCTGATGCCGTATTTCCGTTGTCCATGTCATCCTCCTACCCGTTCCCTCATCCGTCTCGTCCATCAGGCTCAGAGCCCATGGAATCCACCACGAGACATGTCTGTTGCACAACATCTGAGCAGACATCGTGCCCCAGGTAGCTGTGATTCTGAGGCCTCCTCCTCCTCCTCCTCCTCCTCCTCCTCCTCCTCCTCCTCCTCCTCCTCCTCCTCCTCCTCCTCCCCCTCTCCTCCTCCTCCGCAGCCACTGAGCGCGTCACCCACAGTGCGCGCCCCACGCGCGAGGGCGCGGCCAGGGAGGCCTCGTCTTTTACCGCCGCACGCCGGTGACACGCAGCTCCCGAAGAGGGGGGGAAAGAGGGCGGGGAGGCTTCCTTGCAACGAGGAGGGGGAGGGGGGAGGGGGAAAAGGGCACGGAGGCCTCCCCGCAACCAGGAGGGAGGGTTTCCCTCCTATAAGTCCTTGCAGCGAAGAAGGGGGCCCCTATGCAACGATGCTCTCGTTCCTCCTCCTCCTCCTCCTCCTCCTCCTCCTCCTCCTCCTCCTCCGCAAGTCTGAGGGGGCCGCCTTCTGCATGCCCTCCTCCGGAGCTCTCCGCGTGCGTCGTGCACGTGCGCTGGCCGTGGCCGGTCGTCCGCCAGACCTTCGCGGCGGCGCTCCCCGGGGAGCGGGCGGTGCGGGTATACGGTGCCCGCGAGGCGTGGCCGCGTTCGGCGGCATCTTTGGCATCGCTCGGACGTGTGCATTTCTTTCGACGAGGGCCATCGAGGAGCATGTTCGTTCAGCTTGCGAAAAAAGATGCATTTGGACACCCGAGATAGGTACCGAAAGAATGGGTACAATACCCAACAACAAATGTTGTCCCAAACCAACAGCGGCTGCTGTTGGGCAGGCGGCCTTCATGTCTCGGATGGACACAGGCCACGGCGGCGTGGACAGCGAGTCCTACTCAAAATGAACAGGATCCGCTGTTGGGCATTGTACCCATTCTTTCCGTACCCATGTGTCGGGCGTCCAGAATACACGCACGAAGCCGAGAAGTGCACTGGGGATGGGCGTCCGCGCGATGGCGAGCATCGGGTCAGACGAGAGGGAGGGATCGGGAAAGGGGGAGAGAGTGCTTTGTTATTTTCTGGGCCACAGCGCGCGTTATCCTCCCCTCCCTCCCATCACGCAGTGCTCCTCTCCGCCCGGTGCTCCTCTCCGCGGAGCGTCTGGCACCACAGTCTGTCACGGTGGGGGGGCGTGGGCACTACATAATGCCCCCCCCCCCCCCCGCCCCCCTCCCTCCTCCCCCCACCCCCCCCACCCCATAACGCGCGCTATCGTCGCGAATGAAACAGTGCGCTCGAGGGAGGTGCGAATCGGGGGCCCTCAAACGGCGTGCAGACCACGCCGTCTGGTGAGTCCGTGCGGATTCGGAGTCGCCGCGCGGATCGGGGGCTCGGGTCGTTCTCCGAGGGCGTCTCGGACGACTGGGGTCTCCAAGGTCCCAAGATCGTGTGGTGACCGACGACTGGGGTTCTGGGAACCTGGCTTTGGGGCCCCGAAGCGATCTTGCCGCACGCAGCTGGTCTCCGGGCGTTGAGCCCGGGGGGGAGCGAGAGGGCGTGGGCCTGCCTCGAAGGCGGCGGGGTGCTCCTCGGGAGCCGTCGCGCTCTCCGAGGCGTCTTCTTTTATGGGCTCTCTCCGACTTGGCATCGCTCGGACGTGTGCATGTTTCCTTCGGCGAGGACCATCGAGGAGCATCCTTGATCATTTGGCAAAAGAAGCCACGCGCGAAACAAGAAAAAAACGCAGGAAATGGACGTCCGAGCGATGGCCAGCCGAAGACGGGGACGAGCTCCTCGGTGAGGCGCCCGCGAGAAGGGCTGCCGCCTCCCGCTCTCCCCGCAGGGCTCGGCGCCGGGCCTCGGCCCCGCCGCCGGGCGCGCGCCTGCGTTCCTGGGAGAGGGCGCGTCGTGTTCAGGAGGGGAGAGAGCACACAGACACAGTGAATCCTCGATTCCCAAGAAAGTATAGGAAAGTATGGGAATTGTGGGGGGAAGAGAAAAAAACAGAAAAGATAGGAAACGGTTGGGGGTCCTGTTATTTGTGTGTATTTATTTGTGTGTCCTTGGGCCCCTTGACCCGTTGACGCCGGGAGTGGGGGGGGGGGGTTCGAACCCCGGGGGGGGCCCTTCCAATGCAGTGGGTGTAGGGGGTTCGAACCGGCCCCCTCCCCGCGCCCCCTCAGGGATGGAGGGGGTTCGACCCGGGCGGGGGAGCGGGGGGTGCTTGGATTGCAGCGGGAGGGGAGCTCGAACCAAGGAGGGAGGCCTTCCCCCCCAGTGGCAACCGACGACGGCGAGCCCCGGCGCTGGCGCCGGTGCCGTCGGGCAACGACGACGACGATCGAGCCACGGGAGGATGCTCGTAAGTCTGGATCGAGCCCAAATCGAATTCTATTGGAGCTGGATCGAGCGCAAGTGCGATGCAATTAGAACTGGATCTAGCTAAAGTAGGATTGTATCTGATATGACTCGAGTCTTAGTAGGATTCACTTAGACTTGCATCTGGCATGATTACATTGTGAAAGTTGTGCCGAACCCGACAAACACGTTTTTCAAAAGGTGGGCCCAGCTACATTCGGATCTCCTAAGAGCACGGCTCAATTACAGCTGGATCCAGGTATAGTCGGATTGCATTCGAGCGAGTTGGATCGAGCCCGACAAGATTATATTAAAGTTCCATCCAGCCATCGTTGGATTCCATGACAGTTTGATCGAGCGGTAGTAGGGTTGTATTTAAGAGGGGGGGCGGTTAGAGAGGCCAGTGTAGGGATGGGCCCTCCCCTCGTCTTCTGGCGCTCATATTTTTTTAGGGTAGGAGGGGGAGGGGGGTGCGGTTCTGACGCGTCCAGGGATTTTTCTCAAAACAAGCGTCCACGAAACGCGTTCTCTCACACACGGGCGCTTCCGGATCTGGGAGGCGCGGGGTAGATCAGCTACGTGGGCTGATTCGCTGACTCACTCTGTGCTACCCCCCCTTCTGCCCGACCCGTGGGTTGATGATTCGCCATGCTTGGTCTGTGCAGCGCAATGCATACCTTGGTTGCCTCCCTTCCCCTTCTTTCTGCCTGCGCGTCTCCCATCTTTCAGATGGAAGACGAATTTGCTAAACCATCTACGTTCAGAATGAGGTGGCGGGATTGGGTTACGGGATTCGAGAGCTTATCGTTGCCCCCTGGCGGCTACACTGGGACCGCTCGTGAGCAAATTGGCCTTACGGACGCCAACTAAACGTGAATTTGGTTGTCAGTAGTTCGGAACGCGTCTACTTTTGTTGTCGTTGTTGCCACAAGGTGCATGGTGGTGCCTTCGTTTCGTTTGGATCGTTCCGTGTTGGAGCACATTGGATCTTGCTCGAGCCATCTAAGCTCACATAGTGGAGTATCTCTAAGCCACCAGGGTCGGTCTCTGGGGCCCCCCAGGTTTTAGTGTTTCAGGTTTGAGGCCGTTGATTTGAAGCCTGGTAATTCTTGTTTGTCCAGGACCCTAGGTTGGCTGGGTTTTGTAGTTGTCGTGGCCATGGGAGCCATGGCGCCCAGGAGCTCCGATGACTCGGAATCGTGTCAGCCTCGGTCCTGAATGTGTTGCAATGGGGCGTGAGTACATGCTCCAGGATGCCGCGTGCACCCGGGTATTTCGGCTTCGGAAGCTCGGGCTTTCGACGCTCTGGAGCGAACGATCTAGACCAACCTGCGTCCGTGGCTTTGATGAGTCGTGAGAACGCTTCGGCGGGCCTGAGCTCTGCCTCGAATTTCTGTTGTGTCATTTGCTGTTTTTCACCCGAAGGATTCATGGAACATCTGTGGCTCCGAGAGCGTAACCACGCATACCTTCGATGAGGTGTTGTTTTCAATATGCGAGTCGTTTTAAGCGTATAGCTCTGGGCAGCATTAGCATCTGAGAGTGCGTAAGTTCAAACGCTCTCGGGGCGTGGGTTCATTATCATCGTCTGCACTTTCCGCCCTCCCCCTCCTCATTCGTCCTCCCCTGCGTCCTCCCATTCCTGCTCCTCCCTCCTCCGCACCATTGCCATCCTCTTCCTCCCCCCTCCATTGCGCCCCCCTCCCGTCGTCCTCCCTCTTCCCCCCTCGTCCCGCCTGCTCGCGTTGTCCCCATGTTCTGTTCTGTTTCCCACCGTCCCTCTCGCCCTGCTTGTGCTGCCCCCCCCCCACCAGAGCACTCTGGCTTGAGGTGCCTCCGCGCGCCCCGGCCCGAGGAGAGCGCCTGGCGCCCCCCCCCCCGCGCGTGACCCGCGCCTGCACGTTAGACCCGCTTGGGGCTCACGCGATCCAGGACGGCCCATCCTGCTTTCGCCGCCTCGCCCCTCCGCCTCTCCTACTGCTCATCCTGCTCATCCTTCCTCCTCCTCCTCCTTCTCCTCCTCCTCCTCCTCCTCCTCCTACTCCTCCTCTCCCGCTTCCTCATTGTTTCTTCTTCCCTTCCTCCCCCTCCTCCTCCTCCTCCTCCTCCTCCTCCTTTTCCTCCTATGGTGGAATCGTCATCGCGGCGGATCGATGGACCGGGGCGTAAGCCTCGTGAGGTTCAAGGAGCCGATGGCAGTGAACGCATTGAGCCGAGGCCAGCGAAGATTGGCTCAGCGGGGGAAGCATGGGTCCCCCATGTGCCATGCAGCGCCACTCGGGGCACGGGTGCCCCAGCCCGCCCAGGAACGCCTGGGGCCTGCCACCTCGGGAGAGACAGGGGGGGCCAGACCAGTGGCTATGTATCGTCGGTTCCAGGTCCTCGTTCTCCCCGCTCTGAGCCAAACACCCCGCTCAGCCACGCGCAGAGGCGGGGGGGGGAAGGAAGGCGGGTGCCTCAGAACCACCCCTGCTCCTCAGAAGGCGGGTCCCCTCCCCTGTAGATGCAGGGCCGCCGCCTTCTGAGAAACCGCCTCCTTCTAAGAAACCTTCCCTCCCCTTCTGCCCCCTTGCTCGCGCCGCCAACACATGGGCTGGAACTGGCTTCGTGGATATCCAGGCGAGTGCCGCGATCAGTCGCGCGGATGCGACGGCACAGAATGGCGATACCGATCTGATCCGCGCGCCCTCGGACCCGACCGCAAGCGTTAGCGAGAGCACCTCGGACGACTATCTTCGCGGCTGGGGCTAGGGGGTCCAGCGAGATTGCGACGTCGTCGCGATCCTTGGAGGGACGCCGCGCATGTCGAGGCCTCGCAGGTGGCGGCGGAGAGCATGTTTTTCGCACGGGGGGTCGCGGGGCCCTGGCCGCGCGGGTGCGATCGACTGCTCTACGGACGATGGCGCGCAACTTCCCGTCGGTACGATGGACACTGGTACGGAAGGCGCTGTCGGGGGCGAGCGAGGGAGGGAAGTGCGAAGGAGAAGGCCTTCGCAGGAGGCGGCGGGACTTCTCAGAAGCTCCCGCGCCTTCTGGGAAGTGTTTTGTGTCCTCGGGGGAGACTCAGGGCACTTCTCAGAAGTCCGGGGGACTTGCGAACCTTCTGAGAGGGCCCGCCCCCTCTCGCTCCCCTGCCTGGCTCGCCGCCCAGACGGGGCACGGAGACCACCAGCAGCTCGGTCCCGTCTTGAGCAGGGTCTGCTGCCCGCGTCGCCGCGGACGCCACCCGGTTGAGGCAGAGTGCCCTCGGCAGGGAAGCAGCCGATGTCAGTTTGGGGACAAATCTGTTGTTTGGCATCGTGCCCATCTTCCCCGTGCCCTTTCCAGGCGTCCAGATCTCGACTGGATAGCCTGCCGCCCCCGTGCCCGGAGCCCGTTCTGCAGCATCCAGAGAGCGCCAGGCCTCGGACGGGGTCTTTGACGTGGCATTGCGAGGGGGTCCTGCCCGATCGCGAGCGCGGGCGCCCCAACCAGGCTCTGAGCCAGCGGTGGGAGGCTCTGAGCCAGCGATATCCCAGAGGGGGGGGCGATGACCAGGGCGGGGGAAATCATGGCGGGGGCCATGATAACTCCCAGATCTCATGGCTTCCTCTTCTTTTTTCGATGCGTCCCTTGGCCCTTCCTGGGCCGCCCACGTGCCGTGGGCCATGGTTTTGCGGACCCCCCTGTTGGATGCCCCCGATGATTCTAGAGTCTTGCGCCACCTCCGCCGACCCCGTGGATTTCTTTCAGGCCATTGCGAGATGTGCGCGCGCCACTGCCTGAACAGGAGGAGCACGCAGCCTGAAGGAGCCCGTCGCGCGATGCGCCAACGGCCACTGAAGGCGGTCCTGCGGTGTGGCTCGGCAGCAGCAAGCACTTCCCCCGAACGCGCTGCCGGGCCCCGCGCAGGACGTCTGGGGCGCGTGCGACAGCGGAGGCCGTGAGGCGCGGCGTAGTGGGATCGCACCGCCAGCGAAATTGCTGCGGAGATGGACCAGACCAGAAAGTCAAGTCAGAGGAGGAAAAGGTACCACTACCGCTACCCCTCCCTCGGTTTACCCTTTTTGGGCCTCCTGGGATGCCATCGTCGCCACCGCTGGATTCCCTTCGAAATCCTGCTGAGAACGCGCCCCGAGAGAGGGTCCGGGGCGTAGCGGTATCGGTATTTTCTGGTGTCCACAGGAAGGTCGACCGAATGGGCGTGCGCGCCCGTGATGTCGCCCAGAGCCCCCGAATCGCTAGGACTGTGTGTGTGGTCGGGGGTGGCTACTGATGCGTGCCTCGGGGGCCCAGACCGACGTTGTCCCGGATGCTCCGGGTGCCCTTCCATTGCCGAGTCATCGTGGACTTCTCCTGTGGAGGTGACTCTCCTGGTGGTGTTGCTGTCGCTCCGCTCCTCCTTCCCCCGAGATTCGGGGCGGTCAGGATCAACTCCTAGTTCCTGCGTCGGGGACCCAAGCCAGAGTTAATGTCAGCTTGTGATTCGCAAATAAGCCCCCCCCCCTCGGCTGAAGCGGCGCCGCTTGCGTCGCCCCTGTCGCCATCCTGCTGTCGGCCTGGTGTCGGCGCTAATCACCGGCGCCGCCGCCGTGCGTTTCAATTTTGCGGCCCCCACCTCCCCTGCGATTCGTTCGAGCATGATCTTTTTCATCACACGCCCCCCACGGATTTGCTAGTCACAAGCTGACGTCACCTTGGACTGGAGTTAGCCTGGATGGCCCGGGCGTCCAAGATGGAAGGGGCGTGCGCGCTGCCGCGCCGGGGCCTGGGCCCGCACCTCGCCCGCTGGCAGATTCGCGTTAAGTTCGCTGCGCCCGCTGGGGAGCGGCGTGGCCCCTTGGGCGACGAGATCTGCACATAGCCGCTGTTCCCTGGCCAAGCCCATCCTGAACCCAGCATCGGTGTATTCGCAACGCCCTCTTGGTTTGGCCAAGAAGGCGTATGTGTGGACGCCCAGAATGGGTGCGGAAAGAAGGGGCACGACGTCCAACAACAAATGGTGTGCAAAGCCGTCAGCGGCCGCTGTTGTGCAGGCGGCGTTTTGCGTTCACAGGACAACGTCTGCGACGCCCCCCTCGCTTGGCCAGGAGGGCGTATACACAGCTCCTCGGTTCAGGATAGGCCTGGCCAGGGAGCGGTGGATAATATCTATACGTTTCATCGCCCGATCATCTGCGCCGCGGCTGCTGGTGGCCGCGATACGCCGCCGAGAGCGGCTCCATGGCAGTCTGCAGTGGACGGGAGAGTGAGCCTTCTCTTGACTACCCGCCGATCGTTGGAAGTATGTATCTTTGGACCCACAGATCCCAACCTACTGTATCCTCCTTCCTACTTCGAGGATCGAATGCTGTTCCTTTTTTCTTCCCCAATCTACTTCCAACCCCTTGCTACTTCATGGTCTAGCCACTTCTTCCGACCGACGGGTGATCTCAGTTTACTCCCACGCCCCTGATGGGTCCCGCGCGAGCGCCTTGAGCCCGTGCTGGGACCCGGACCCTCCTTCTTGCTTGATCACTGCGGGCTTGCTCCCACGGTGTGTCCCACTGGAGCGCGGGTGCTCGCCAACCGACTTCCTCCCCGTGTCGTTGGGTCCTCTTGAGCCGTCTTGGGGCTCTCCTTGACCCTCTCTTGATGATGCCGTGTTGCCCCTCACGCTGACTCGGCATCGCTCGGACGTGTGCACTTCTTTCTTCGGCGAGGTCAGCGCCAGAAAATCTTGGTTCAACAAGGGGGAAACTCGAGTACGGGATCGACTATATAACTAATTTACCCTAACATTGATTTTATCGCCGAGTCTGCGAAATGATAATGTAATGCCGCAGAGCATTCTATACATTCGTCCGCAGATTCGACGGAACGTCAATTGTGTCAATTATGCAGTCGATCACCTACTCAAACATATAACGCACGAAACCGACACATGCACGGGGAATGGACGTCCGAGCCTGGGTCCGACCAGAGCGCGGGAGCACGCCTCCCTTCTTTCGCCCAGCGTCTTGTAGCCCTGTCGAACCGTTTTGAGGCCGTCTTGAGGTTCCAGGTTCGAGATTGTGCCGAGGTTCGAGCGTCGAGGATGGAGACACGAGTTTCGAGGCCCAAGGCCTTGGTGAGGATGATCGTGATTCGAGGGTCGACTAGGGGACGAGGATCGAGGATGATTGTGTTGACTGGAATCGAGCATCGAGGGTCGAGCGCCGACAGGGCGGCGAGGATCGAGGATCGAGGTTTGTGCGAGGATCGAGGACCGGCATTTTGGCGTGGATCGGGGGTCGAGGATCGATGGGGAGGGAGGACCGCGAGCTGAGGTCTGAGCACGGAAGGTCGAGCATCGAGGATCGAGGGTTTGGGTTTTGTAGAGGTTGGATGATCGAGGTTGGAGGATCTTCGATTGGGGATCGATGACCGAGGATCGAGGCTCCATCAGGAGGCTCACGCTCGAGGTTCTGGCGATGATCAGGAATCGAGAGTTCTTCGAGGATCGGTTATCGAGCTTCCAGGATCGGGGTCTTCACGATTCGAGATTCGAGATTTGAGGATCGAGGTGTAGACGATAACCTAGCATCGATCATGTGCCACGGCGGGATGCCATAGTCTGGGGGGGTTCTTTGCGCAGAACTGAAATGTTGCACAGACGCCCCCCCTCCCGCCAAGCCTCTCTGGAGAGAAGATTCCTGGAGATCCTGTTCTCACAAATTACAGTGTGGCGTACAATCAGAGTCCAACTTACACCAGCTCTGTGAACTCATGCACAACATGGTTGACGTGGTGTCACTCGGTAGAACCAGGTGCAACTCAGTGAAATGGGGTGTTACCAGGGGTGAGAAGATAAGTACAGCCAGACGCCCTGATAGCGATAGTTTCGACACTCGTTGCCTGCACAATGTGTTTCTGAGATTGTTAGATTGGGCCGAGCAGGGAATCGTGAAGGCATTGTTCTCTCGATTCTCCTTCATCTGTCCCCCTCCCAGTCCTCTCCCTCGCTCTTTCTGCTTGTCCTCCCCGCGCTTCTCCACCCAGACCCCCCTGACCTAGTTCTTTCGGGGAAACGTTCGAGTACGCCGGAAGTCGGGTTCGCCTACGCTTTTTGACGAGCGTGTCCTGGATTTTGACGGTCCAGTTTTTGTGGGATGTTTGCAGCGGGAGTTCGCGTCAGATTTCAGATTGGGTCTCGTCAGTTTTCTTGACGGCCCCGTTAGGCCAACCCGAGTCCCCCGAACCCGAGTCTTACGTCCTCCTGATTCTTCTTCACCGCGTGGATCCTTGGGGACCCCGACACCTCCCCAGGGACAGTCTCTTTCTCCTAAGTGTTTGAGTTAGGACGCGGCTGGTTCAATTTAGCATCTACCATGGCATATCCGTGGTCGAGCACCAGTCTAATACAGCATGATTCCGCTTGGTCGCGCTTGAGTTTGGGTTCCACCCGGCCTAGCCTGGCTTAAATGGCCTCGCAGTCGTCTTTGCGAAGATCTTCCAGGAGTTGCTTCCCAAAAGCCAAACATTACCAATCATTTCACACCACACCACTTCTTTACCCACCTTCCCCTCCGACAGGAATGGCGCCGGGTCTCTCTGCCGCGGCGCTGCTTACCTGCGTCGCGCTGGCGATCGTGTCAGAGGCAGCGTGGATCTCGCTGGGAGTCTGGCGGCAAGAGCAGGAGGAAAGAGATCAGAGGAGCAAACAGTACTGTTCATGATGCGTTCCAAGATTTCCAGGATGTCCACTGTTTCCTGGATGCCCTGCTGCTACACAGGCCCAAGAAGCGAGTGCGCTAGATACCCTGGAACTCTTGGAACGCAATCTGAGCCAATCATATCATTACATGGCTCTCGTTCTAAGGGCAGCGTGCACCTCCAGCGAGGAAGTCCACGATGCCTCCGCGGCAGCCCGAGCCCCACCCTGGTTCCGGCGGGCCAGGACACCAGCCCTGATCCCCACACGAGATCCCTCGCCCTTCTCTCGCTGCCTTGCTCGTCGTCGTCGGGTCTGCAAGGGCCCCTTCGCGGGGGCCGCGGGCTAGCCCGCACGACCTCTGCATGAGATCCTCCTCTGCATCCTCCTTTCGCCCTCCTCCACCCGCTCCTCTGGTGCACCGCCGCTTGCTTAGCTTGCCGCTGCCGCCTCCTTGCTCCCATTGTTCGCGTGGTGTGTCTCGCTGCGCCTGGCGCCATCCATCTGGACATGCTCAGCTCGCGATGAGCCGTATTGTGCCTGGTGCTTTGTTGTATGATACCCATCGTGTAGTCAGTGTAGTACCTGTTCTGCAGTGCAAGGGGAGCCTGGTCCTGGGGCGCGTGTCCTCCTGCTTCCCCCTCCCCGTCCGGGTGAAGTACAGCTGGCGCGAGGAGTAAGGGTTGCCCTAGCTCTGCAGGGGTACCACTATGTTCTTCGTTGCTGGGGCTCTCCACACTGGGACGCTCTTCTGTTTGGGTAGCTGGGGCATTCTGTGAATGCGCTGCTGCTCTTGACCCTCCTTCTTGTGACCCTGCTTCGACTGTATCTGCGTCATTTGGTGCATCCGTCAAGCGCTGGTCGTCTGGCACCCCATCGGCACACGTTCGGTGGCAAGAAGCTCAGCGCATCCCGCTGTTGCCATCACTGGGTTGGACCAAGCGACCGTGAAGCAAAAAACGTTGTTTGGGGTCTCTTGGGTGCCATTCTGGGGCCTCTCTGGGGCTCCACGGCGGCCTCTTGGGGGCCTGCTGGAAGTCTTGGGGGCTCACTCGGAGCGGAGGGCGCGAAAGCTCAGTTCTTGACCTTCGCTTTTGTGGCTACGTGTCGAGCGTATCTGCGTGAAGGGCTACGTTTTACGTGCAAATGCTTATCAGTCGCCATATGGTATCCTCTGGCCTCTCTCCGCCCACTTCCTTTCGTCTTGCGCTTGCATGGTCGAGTCCCCTTCCCATGCGTTGGGAAACTGTCGGTTCACATCATGAGGTGAGCGACGGAAAGACGGGATCGTTTGCGCCGACAGTCGGACGTACTCTGCCAGCGTCAGGTCGCGCGTAAGCGCCCTCGTCTCCAATGTGGCGTGCCGCGCTGGCGTCCCGCGTAAGCTGCGGCGAAAGGTCGCTATGCCATCTCGCGTGAGGCCTGTTTCTTTTCGTCGCCCGGGTGCTTCCCTCGGGGAGAAGCGCGTGGGGGGGGGTGAAAGACGGCGCGCCTCTGGTGCCCTGAAAGGACCCCCTGGGGCCCAAAAGGGGCGCGAGATCTGCACGATGCCCCCCTATCCTACGCAACGCCCGCCATGACGCAACGCCCGAGTGCTGGCCGCGCCCATGCCCCAACGGCCCCCCCCCCCTCCCCCACGGGGGCCCACCCCGGCGCAGGCCGCGCCCGTGCCCAAGGGCCCGCCGAAGTCCCGGCCGAAGGGCGCCGCGGTGCCCGCGGAGGAGGCGCAGGGGGAGGACGGCCAGGTGGAGGGCTTGGGGGGGGGAGGGGCGCGGCAGCCCGAGCCCCACCCTGGTTCCGGCGGGCCAGGACACCAGCCCTGATCCCCACACGAGATCCCTCGCCCTTCTCTCGCTGCCTTGCTCGTCGTCGTCGGGTCTGCAAGGGCCCCTTCGCGGGGGCCGCGGGCTAGCCCGCACGACCTCTGCATGAGATCCTCCTCTGCATCCTCCTTTCGCCCTCCTCCACCCGCTCCTCTGGTGCACCGCCGCTTGCTTAGCTTGCCGCTGCCGCCTCCTTGCTCCCATTGTTCGCGTGGTGTGTCTCGCTGCGCCTGGCGCCATCCATCTGGACATGCTCAGCTCGCGATGGGCCGTATTGTGCCTGGTGCTTTGTTGTATGATACCCATCGTGTAGTCAGTGTAGTACCTGTTCTGCAGTGCAAGGGGAGCCTGGTCCTGGGGCGCGTGTCCTCCTGCTTCCCCCTCCCCGTCCGGGTGAAGTACAGCTGGCGCGAGGAGTAAGGGTTGCCCTAGCTCTGCAGGGGTACCACTATGTTCTTCGTTGCTGGGGCTCTCCACACTGGGACGCTCTTCTGTTTGGGTAGCTGGGGCATTCTGCGAATGCGCTGCTGCTCTTGACCCTCCTTCTTGTGACCCTGCTTCGACTGTATCTGCGTCATTTGGTGCATCCGTCAAGCGCTGGTCGTCTGGCACCCCATCGGCACACGTTCGGTGGCAAGAAGCTCAGCGCATCCCGCTATTGCCATCACGACCGTGAAGCAAAAAGCGTGGTCTGGTGTTTCCTGGGTGCCATTCTGGGGCCTCTCTGGGGCTCCACGGCGGCCTCTTGGGGGCCTGCTGGTAGTCTTGGGGGCTCTCTCGGAGCGGAGGGCGCGAAAGCTCAGTTCTTGACCTTCGCTATTGTGGCTACGTGTCGTGTCGAGCGTATCTGCGTTTGTTTATGTCTGGGGGGCAGCGATCGTGCCTCTCTAGCTAGCAGCCATCTCGGGGCGCACAGCCGCCCCTCACACTCGACGCCCAAACTCGCACTGCACACTCGCACTTCGCACTCGCACACCGCACTCGCCCCCGCACTTGCCCCCCGCACTGTGCGCCCACACCCGCACTTCACATTCGCACCCCGCACTGTGCACCCACACTCACCCCCCAACGCCCACACGGCACGAGCGCGAGATGCGGGTCAACTCGGCGCACTCAGTCTGGGACGCCCACCCCACGGTCAGTTCGCACTTCGCACTCGAGGAAGCAGCTCGGACAGCCAGCTCGCGAAATCCATTTGGCACCTCCAATCGCGAAACCAGGGCGGCACATCAACCTTGCACATCAACTTGCGAGCTCAACTCGGCAGGCCACCCCGCGAAACCAACTCGGCAAACCAACTCTGTAAATCCACTTTCGTGATTCAACTCGGCAAATCAATTCGGGAGATCAACTTGGCAAACCATCTCTGGAAATGAACCCGGGAAGTCAACTCGGGACATCATTCGGGGAACCAATTCGCATCTCGCAATTACAACGGTACGTCAAAGCTCAAAAAGTCAATGCCAATTCAATTCGCCATCTCAGCGTTCCGTGCATGCCAACTCCACAAATCAACTCAGGAAATCAATTCGGCAAATCAATTCTGTAAATCAGTTCTGTGATTCAACTGTAAATCAACTCGGCAAATCAACTGTGTAAATCAGCTCGGTAAATCAATTATGTAAGCCAACTCGGCAAATCAACTCGGCAAATCATGTCGGGCAATCAAGGCGGCAACTCAACTAGGCAAATCAACTCTGTAAATTAACTCGGGAAATCAACTCGTCTAATCAACTCGGTCAATCAACTCGGGATTTGGTGTGGGGTGTGAGTGTGGGGTGCGAGTGTGTGCGTAGACTGTGGGCGTAGAGTGTGTTGTATTGTGTGTGTGCGTGTGTGTGTGTGTGTGTGGGTGGGTGGGTGGGTGGGTGGGTGTGGGGGTGCGGGGGAGGGGGCGGGGGGGGGCGTAGAGTGTGGGGTGTGAGTGTGGGGTTTGAGTGTGGGCGTGCAGTGTGGGGTGCGAGGATGTGCGTAGACTCTGGGCGTAGGGGCGCGAGTGTGAGAGGCGAGTATGGAGTGCGAGTGTCGGCATGGAGTGTGGGCACGAGTGAGTTCGGCGAGTGTGGGCGTCGAGTGTGGTGCGTTTCTGGCCTCGAGCTAGTGCTGGCCCCCCAGACATACACAAGTCTGCGTGAAGGGCTACGTTTTACGTGCAAATTCTTATCAGTCGCCATATGGTATCCTCTGGTCTCTCTCCGGCTACTTCCGTTCGTCTTGCGCTTGCATGCGTTGGGAAATTGGCGGTTCTCATCATGAGGTGAGCGACGGAAAGACGGGATCGTTTGTGCCGACAGTCGGACGTACTCTGCCGGCGTCAGGTCGCGCGTAAGCGCCCTCGTCTCCAATGTGGCGTGCCGCGCTGGCGTCCCGTGTAAGCTGCGGCGGAAGGTCGCTATGCCATCTCGCGTGAGGCCTGTTTCTTTTCGTCGCCCAGGTGTTTCCCTCGGGGAGAAGCACGTGCGGGGCGTGAAGGACGGTGCGCCTTGGGTGCCCTGAAAGGACCCCCTGGGGCCCCAATAGGGGCGCGAGAACTGCACGATCCCCCCCATCCTACGCAACGCCCGCCATGACGCAACGCCCGAGTGCTGGCCGCGCCCGTGCCCCAACGGCCCCCCCCCCACGGGGGCCTACCCCGGCGGAGGCTGCGCCCGTGCCCGAGGGCCCGCCGAAGCACCTGCTGACGGACGCCATGGCGCCCGCGGAGGAGGCGGTGCCGGAGCCCCCACCGGTGGACGTGCAGGACGTGGCCCCCTCGATGGCGAAAGTCTCAGCATCGCCCAACCCAATCCCGAGGTTCCCAGGCCCCCTCGAGTCATGAAAAAGCATGACGGGAAGTGTCTCGCCATTTTCGGCCTTTGGAGGCCCTCACCAGGCATCGGGACCGTCAACACAAGCGACTCAGGATGAGAAACGGGTCCTGGGGGATGGGTCCAGCCCTTTGGGGGTCGATGTCATGAAAAAATCATGACGTCGGGTCTGGGTTCGGGGTTCTAGGCCTCCAGGATGGGGTCGGAGTAGATGGGGTCGGAGGATCGTGCCGCGTCTCCGTTGCATCAGCGATGTATCGGCGATGCAGATCGATGTGGGGCCCAATTTGCTCCACGCCGAAGTCGTGCATGGTTTGCCGACGTCGCCAGTGCATGGCCGATGCATCGCCGATGCATCGCCGATGTATCGGCGATGCGGCGAGATCCTCCGACCCCATCTACTCGGACCCCATCTAGGAGGCCGCTATGGATTCGAGGTTTCCGGCTGCTCTCGTCGGTGCCTGGCCCCCTTCGGGTCCGAGGTTCGAGGTTCTGGGCTGCTCTCGTCGGTTCCTGGCCTCCCCCGGGTTCCAGGTTCGAGGTTCGAACAAGTCGATTCGGGGCTCGGTGGTTGGACGTTTCGCATGTTTTTTTTTTTTTTTTTTTTTTTGTTTTTGTTTTTTCAGTTTTCGGCCGATGGGGTTCCTCGCCGAGCCCCGGGCCCGACGGTCCGCGCGGATCTCTTGGATAGGCGCTTGGCCCTGGCGGCGCCTTCGGCGCCGCCCCTGGCGCGCTCCCCGCGCCAGGGAGGCCCTAGCGAGGATCCAAGAACTCCGTGCGGACCGTTCAGAGTTTATGCTTATGCCGTGGTTTTTTACCGTTCCTTCAGCATCCCCACCTGGGGAGGGATATTTGCCAGGGGGGGCAAAAACACACAGACACAATTAATCGTCCACTCCCAGGAAAATATTGGAAAATATGGGAAGTGGGGGGAAGACAAACATTCAGTAACATGGGAAACTATGGGGAATCATTTTATTTGTGTGTATTTATGTGTGTGTGTGTGTGTCCTGGGGCCCCTTCCATTTGCCAGTGGGGCCCAGGCCGCGCCCGCGGGGACCATCGGGGATCGGTGGCGCGCTGCCCACCTGGCCGCCCGCCCGCCCGCGCACGCGCCTCGGGCCACGCGTCGCGGGGGGGGCGGGGGGGCGCTCGCCCGTGCGCACGCCCCGCCGGGGCAGGTCTCTCGAGGTGGTTTCTGAGCAGGGCTGGACCGAAACGGTGTTTTTTCGGAGGGCACCAACACCGATCCTGGCCCAGGATCACCCTGGGCCCAGGATCGGTGTATATGCCTTCCTGCCCCAGGCAGGAGGGCGTATACACCGATCCTGGGCCCAGGGTGATCCTGGCCAGGATCGGTGAAGGTGTATAGTTGGTGCCCTCCTACTCGAGGTGATTTCAGTTTCTGAGCAGGGCTGGACCTAAACGGTGTTTTTTTGCGATTTCGTGGGCCGTTTTCGTTTCGGCTTCGTTTTGCGGGAAGGGCGGATTCGAGACAAAAGCGAGGGAGAACGAAAACATAACGAAAACGAAAAACACCGTTCAGGTTCAGCCCTGTTTCTGAGGTCTTCACCAGCCGCTGTCCACGACTCGCAGAGGGCCTCCTCGCAGACGTTTGGGAAACGACATATCCTCGCCCTGAGATGATGGATCGTAGAACCACCGCGGCGGATCCAGGCCACCTGCGAGCAGTTCCTCTGCGAGTCGTGGAACGCGCTTGTCTAGGTCTTCTCGCGTTCTCGCCGGTGCCCGTCGGCGTTCCGGCCTCGGGATGCCTTTAGCGGCTGCGCCTCGCCGAGGGCGTTCCCCAGGGTGCCCAGATCGTCCCGAACGGCCGCCGGAGATCCGAGATATGGCCCGAAAACCACGGTGCTCGTGATTTCGACACATTCCCTGGAGATGTTTGTGTCGTGCTCTGGCGGGTAACGGTCTTTGCCCGGGCCCCCCTCGCCACATACGGGCCCACGGGTAACGGTAACGATCGTACGTAGGCGGGAGGGGGTCCTGGATCCCTTACACATCCTTGTGCTCGCGCGCATTTTGCGGCGCCCCCCGACGTGCCCCCCCCCCCCCGCCCCCCCCCCCCCCCTCCTTCCCGGCAGCGACAATTACCAGAAATTTCCGAGGGACGTACCCAATTTGTTCTACACACATGGCGAGTATGAGTATAACCGTTTATTTCCAAAATGCTATGAACAAATCGGAACACTTCGCCAAGGACGCCGATAGAGCCATGAGATCTCGTCTGGATCTGCGTTTACCTGCACTCCGCCACGCCTCCGATGAGGCCACGATTTTCGCGACAGTTTCGCAATCCGTGGCTCTCCGAAGGATACGTGAGGTCTCGGCTGGACCCGCGTTTCCCTGCACTTCGCGATACCCCTAGAACCCCACGAGCGTGGCGACAATTGTGCCAAGTCGCAGCCCCCGAGGGAGCCGCGAGGTCTCGAAGTGGTCCCGCTGTCCTCTCCTCCGCCGTGGCGATTCCACGAAAGTGGCGACAGTTGCGCAGTTCGCAGCCACCCAGGGAGCAGAGAAGTCCCAACTGGATCTGCGTGTCCCACGACTCCGCTGGACCTCTTAGGAGCACACGGAAGTGGCGACAGTTGACCAGTTCGCAGCTACTCAGAGAGCAGCGAGATCTGGGCTGGATCTACGTGTCCCCCGACTCCGCGGGACCTCCCCGGAGTCCACGCCAGTGGCAACAGTTGCCAATGTCGTAGCCACCCAGGGAGCAGCGAGGTCCCAGCTGGATCTGCGTGCCTGCCGACTCCGCTGGACTTCCCAGGAGCCCACGAACGAGGCGACAGTTGACCAGCCCGCAGCCGCTCGGCGAGCAGAGTGGTCTCGGCTGTATCTCCGAGTCCCCCGACTCCGATGGACCTCCCAGAAGCCCGCAAAAGTGGTGATTGATGCGCAGTTCCCAGCCACCCAGGGAGCAGCGAGGATTCGGCTGAATCTCCGAGTCCCCCAACTCCGCTGGACCTCCCAGGAGCCCACGCAAGTGGCGACAGCTGTGCATTTTGCAGCCACCCAGGGAGCAGCGAGGTCTCGGCTGGATCTGCGAGTCACCCCACTCCGTTGGACCTCCCATGAGCCTGCGAACGTGGCAACAGTTGCGCAGTTCGCAGCCACCCAGGGATCAGCGAGGTCTAGGCTGGAACTGCATGTTTCCCGACTTGCTGGACCTCTCAGCAGCCCACGAAAGTGGCAACCCAGGGAGCGCACAGGAGGTAGGAGGAGGGAAAGGAGAGGAGTGGAGACTACAAAAGGATTGGGAATCATACAATTGAGTCTATGTCCCCCACTCGTCCGCGCACACGCCTCATGCCATTGTTCAGGGGCAACGTTTGGGGGGCATATGCTGAGGGGGGATGCATCGACCCCTAATCGGCCATTCATCGCCGATAAGGGGCCCAATAGCCCACCCCGCCCAGGACCATGCTGATTTGCTTTCGGGGGGCTATCGCCGATCTATCGGCAACGTATTGCTGACTCCAGGTCGTCGTTTCCCCCTCTGAGTTGGTTCCCCAGTCGTTCCCCAATAGTTTTCTCTCAACACGGCCTTTGACCCCCGCTCATCCGCGCACGCACCTCGGGCCATGCTGCGTCTCCTCCTCTTCCTGGCCCCATGACCATGACGAAGATGTCGCGGGATGGATCTTGTCGGCGCCAATATTGGTGATGGTCCATGCCAGCCGTTGCCGATTCGCGAGGGTAATCCAATAATTCCCGATGACCGAGATGGTCAGTCTTGGCCGTTGTCCTCGTTTTTTTCCATCCATTCCTAGGGCGAGGCTAGAGCCCTCTTGCACGTTCTCAGACCGTTGGAGCGCCATGGAACGCCCGCGGCGCCCGATGCATCCTCCAGAACCGTCGAGCCTCAGAGATCTCCGATGCATCCTGACACAATGTTGTCCCAGTCTTGGCTCCGTCATTCACATCCCCCGGCTCCCCACTCGCACGGGGTGCGTCCCCCACCAGCCGAGAGGGCATGCGGCAGGCCATTCGCCTGGCGCAGAGCCCAACCCAAATGGGCGCGTGGACGCCATGCGAGCACGCCTACTGGGGCCACAAGTGGAGCTCCCCTGCGGGGCACGAAGCGTGCGATGGGCGAGCCGAAATGCGCGGGGACGCCTTGCAGGCACGCCCGCCCTCGGGGGAGCAGGAGGAGGAGGAAGAAAGGAGGAGGAGGAGGAGCAGGGCACTACGGAGGGAGGAGGGAGAGGAGGAGGGAGAGCTTTCGGGGGAGGCCACTACGGAGGGAGGAGGGAGACGCTTCGGGGGAGGCGCTTACCGTGGAGAGGAGCCCAGTCCCTCTGGCGTCGCCCAAAATGTGCCCATTGGGGCCATAGGTGCAGCTCCCTGTGGGGCATGAGATGTCTGAGGGGTGTGCCGGCATGGGCGCGGTGACGCCAGGCGAGCACGCCGTGCGAGCCCGTAGATTTTTGGGGTCATGCTTAGGTCGAGCTCCATGTCGGCCACGCAGCGTGTGAGGGGTGTACCGAAGTGAGCGCGGGGCACGCCGTGCGAGCACGCCAGCTGGGGCCGTGGGTTGACCCAGCATTTTCTTTGGGTGGAGGGCAAAGGGTGAAGCGTGTGAGGTTTTTGGCGCCGGCGTGAGCGCGGGGCCGCCATGCGAGCACGCCCGCTGGGGCCAGAGGTGGAGCTCTCTTTGTCACCACCCACCAAACCACCCCAACCCAACCCGAAGGCTCAGATTTACCCTCGATTTCCAGTGGGTGGGGGGTCGGGAAACATAGAGAAAGCGCGTGTGGAACCCTTATCCCCGAAACCCGAAATTCGGGTCTTCGGGTTGGGTTGGGGTGGTCTGGTAGGTAGTCACTTTGGGGCACGACACGTGTGAGGGTTGTGTGCCGGCATGTGTGCACGGGGGCGTCACGCGAGCACGCCCACGGGGGCCACAGGTGCAGCTGCGGAGCACGAAACGAGTGGGGGGTGTTCGGCATGGGCCAGGGCAGGAAATGGAGGATGAGGAAGAAGAATGAGGGCAGGAAGGAGTCGCGCGGCGCTAATGTCGGGCCGGACAGGCCTCCCACCCAGACGCGTCGATTGAGGAATGTCCCCGGGCCCTTGATTTTAGTTTCTGAGATTGCATTGGTGCGAACTCTCGCGCCTCGTACGCGTTGGCGTTGTGCTCTGATTGCAGGGGTTTTCGGTGCGTCTCCGTTTTGAAACATTAAATGCTTCGAAACGGAGACCCAACATGCAGCATGCTTTGAAGCAGTAGATGTTTGTGCTGTATGTTGGGTCCTCGGTTTGAAGCATTAAATGCTTCAAAACGAGGACCCAACATACAGGAGGGTTGGGACAAGTCAGTAACCGAAAACGTGACGGAGATTGTAACCGAGAATGTAGTGTGACCGCGATTATTCTTGGTTTCGAACTAAGAATTTCGGTCACTCTGGGCCGTTCGGAAAAATAGGGCCGCCAGTTTCGGTCACACTCGGCCAGATTTTCAGGCACAGCTTGGGTCGGTCACTACACCGCCCTGACAGAGACGATGTTGCGTGACCACTCGTTCCGCGCACACGTCTTGGGCCTCACGTCGGCGGCGAGCGAGGGGGGGAAGTTTGAGTTAGAAGGAAAAGGCCTTCTCAGAAGGCTCGGAAGACTCTCGGACTTGTGAGATTTTTCTGAGCCTTTCCCCGCAGGCACAGGAAATTATTCAGAAGGTGCGAGGGCTTCTGAAAAGTCCCGCCGCCCTCTGAGAACGCCTTCTTCTTCTCACTTCCCCCATCGCTCGCCTCCGAACATGGTGCGTCCCCCTCTTCACTCCTCGGGGTCGCCTCTTCTCGGCGCGACCGGCAGGAGTCGGCCGCGGCCGACGCCGCAGAGGCGGCCAAGCTCGAGGAGGACGCCCGGATTCTGCGATTGGCGCTGATCGAACATGCGCTGTGCATTTTGCCCAGCAGTGACCAGTTGTGGATACGTTTACCTTACGATGTTGTATATAAACATTATATATGTATATATGTAGACATATTATATATATATATATACAAATGTGTATACGCATATATATATATATATATATATATATATGTATACGTGTGTCGATAGCAGAGCTGCTTCACGAGTTCAGAATGCAGATGTATACACACATGTGTACATGTGTACAACCGTACCACTACATGCAGCGTGTAGGTAGGTCGGTCGGTCGGTCGGTCGGTAGGTAGGTGTATACCTTTGTTCACATGTTTTGTTTGTCTCTGGATTGCGTCGAGGGCCGTCTCCCTAAATATCTGTGTTCGATTTCGAACAGGCCCACGCCCCATGCTTGCAGCTCTATCCCCATACCTCGGACACGTTTCCCAGGTAGCAGTACCGTACCTTTCTCGGTGCCCATCGGCACCTCCGTGCCCTGTGTGCCAAGGCTGCCCGACGACATGCCCGTGTCCGCCGTGCGCCGCCTGTCCGCCGTGCCCTGGGGCCCTGGCGCCGATCCTCCAGGAGTACCCGGCCGCCGAGGCGTCCCGGGCTGGGGCGCCCCAGGAGGGCTCTGTCGATTACTGGTGGGTGCTGCTAGCCATCGTGCTGGGCTTCGCGTTCGGGACCGTGGGCAGCTGCGCGCTGCGCGCCGTCCTCCGCCTCATCTTTCCCCGCCTGGCGTCGACCACGTTTGTTGCGGATTCCGATGTCCTTGCTCATGACTGACCGTTGGGCGTGGGTGCTGTACGTCGGCGGTCAGCTCTGGCATCAGCGTCTGGTGTTGGGTAACTTGTGGCCACGGGGGCCGAATCGGATAGACACGTGGATGCTCATCATCTGCATTCCAGACGGCGGTGTATACGACGAATACTTTTCGGGTCGGTCGGCAAACATCGCGGCACAGTCCGCATGTGTCCTGATCGCAACTGGCCTCTTGGGATCACAGCGCAGTCGAGCTATCGGTTCCGCCGGGCCCCGACAGACGCGGAGGTGGCGGCCTACCTGGCGGCGGGGGAGACGCGGCGGCGGCGCTCGCCGCTGCGGGTCTGCACTCTGTTGCCCCTGATGCTGGCTGCTTGGTGCTCCTCGAGGTCGGCGGCACAGCTGCCGCCGCAGCCGCCGGGGCTGGTGGTCCGGCGCTCGCCCCCGACCCCGGGGCCGCCGCCGGCGCTGCGCCGGCCGCGGGTGCCGCGGCCCCTGGCGCTGTCCTCCCCCGGTGGGTGGCCATCGAGATCACGACGTTTGCCCAGCGTGGCGAGGTGGTGACCCTCCCGTACGACGACGCCGTGGTGCACGGCGACCTGGCCATCATGCGGTCGCCGGCTGGGCTCAGCGTCGTGCTCCGGAACATCCAGGCCATGGCCATGGCGCAGCGGTGTACTCAGCGCCCGCAGCGGTGCGGGTCTTTCCGCGCTCGCGCTGGCTAGGCCCCGCCGCGGCTGGAGCGACATCTGCCGAGAGCTGACGGAGATCTCGTACCCAACCTGGTCGGTGCCAGTCCCTCGCACGGTGAAGTGATGCGCGGATTGACTCGAGCGTCGGTCGTCGATTCCAGAGGCTCATCGCATGCAGTTCGTCAGCACGTTCGGGCTGCGGCCCGACGCGCGGGGTGTCGAGATCCACGGCGCCGCGTTGCGCGCGCTCGAGAAGACTGCATGCTACGATGGCGCGAACATATGTGATTTGGCGGGCATAGAGTCTGCCATGCGGAAGGCCGAGCTCACGTAGTACGTTTACTGGATGGACTCGATGGGCGCGTCGGAGAAGTGGGGCAACAAAGACAAGAAGCCGAACAGCTCGACGATGACGTTCGTGGGCCTCATAGACGAGGCCGCCATCCTCTCGGGCCGAAGCCAAGATACCGGCTCAGCTATGGCGCGCCCAGCGTTGCTGGATGACGGCGCCCGGGAGGTAGAGAAGGATGCCGCGATTGCGAAGCAAGTTCGGAAAACCAAGGAGGAGCGGGCTGCGCTCCTCAAGAAGTCATGGCCGTCCTCCACGGCCGGGCGAAGCCTCTAGCTAGGCGCCAGATCGACAGGCCGGCGGCCTCGGCGTTTCTTGGTCTTGGCCGCCCTCCCCGGATTGGTTGTCCAGCGGTCCGCGTGCTGATCGACCGCGTGATTTCCTCCCTCCTCCCTTCGACTTCTCGCCAGTTTTTTCTCGGTCGACTCGTCGGCGGCACTTCCGACAGGCGCATTCGGCCCGTTTCTCAGAGGATGCAGCTTCGAGCCTTAATCAATTTTCTATTGGAGGGAACCTGGGGGGCTGGCCCACCTCTCCCAGCGCGGCCCAGCTCGACGCCTGTCGTCTCGCCCGCCGTGCTGTGGATCGCCTTGGACCTCCCCCGATATGTCTGGCGCGGGGGCACTTAGTGAGCTCTGCGCCCGGCGTTCACATGGCGGCGAGTGGGCCTCCCCTCTCTGACTAGCCCCCCCCCCCCCCCCCTTCATCTTCCCGGGGAACTGTCGGGCCCGGACGGAGAGGTCCCGGCCGCAAAGCTAGATGGCAAAGTTTGCCCCAAGCGCCTTGCGCGCGAAAGAATGGCCCATGAGGGCCTCTCTGGGCCGCGCGCCGACCCTGCGCTCAGGCGCCCCCCGCGCGTGCACGTCTCGGTCCTCAAGCGGCCCCGAGAAGGCGGCCTGGTGGAATGGGGGCTTGGATGCAAAGCGACGGTTGGGATCTTCGCCGTGTTTGAGAAGTCAGGTAAGTTTCGGGTTATCATTGACGGACGCATCTCGGGTTGTGGTTTGACGACTCTGATTCGGTTCATCTGGCGAGTGGGCCCCCATTTGCCTCAATCTCTGCGGTTTTAAATGAGCCTATCTGCGTGGGCGGCGTCGACGTGGCCAACGATTATGCCGCCCATGCCCTAGGATCTCCAGTCCCATTTCGGTGCTCCTCGGATCCGCGCTAGACAACCGGGCGTCTTTATATGGAAAGGGGCCCCTATGGCCCCGTCTACCTACATCGTCTCCTTATGCACCGCGGCCCCTATGGGTTGGAAGTTATCGGCATGGCTTATGCAGCGCGCTCTGGGGATCTTCTCGAGGCGGGCCCCCGGCGTTGACCTGGGTGCTTTGTTCGAGGGCCGTCCGGCCCCGCCCTTAAACTGGTTGGCTCCTCTGATCCACGCAGAGCGCGTCGATAAATTCCTCGCTTTCAGCCAATCGCAGCAGGCGTCAGGCGACGCTGCTCGCGCGGTCTCGGCCGAGCGCACTCGAGCCCATCTGCCCGTGCACCTGGTGGAGAAAACAAGAGGTGGCACTGCCCTGGGGCGGGCGTTTCGGACGACTCAGATGAAATTGGGATCAATCCGACCGCGCTTTGGAAACTTCGCTTTGATTTACAGGAGTTCGCTCGACGACAGTACACCGGGAAAAACCGTCGAGACCCTCGTGTCCCACTTCGCTACCTGGGCATCGGTGAAAGGCGAGCTCCTGTGCGTGTTCTCCGCCGCGCACTCGTTTATAGAACGCGCTGGCGATATTTCAGTTCCGCTATGGCCCTCTGAAGAAGGGAACTCATGTGGGCCTGCCGGGACATGTTTCCCCCCCGCGCCTCGGAGATCTCAGCGGTGGACGCCTCTAGCTGGGGAATGGGCGCATGCTTTCAAGACCTCCACACCCTCCTCGTCGCTGCTGAGCGCGTCTCGTCGCTTGCGCCGGATCCGCCTCCTGCGCCGCCCCCCAGCGGTCATTTCTAGGGCATGGGATGGGGAGTGGCGGCTCGCGGCTTCCAAGTCATGGTCCCACTCCGAACCCCAGGTCTGCCTCGAAGGTCGGGCTCTCGGTTTGGTCTACCAAGCACTGTGCTAGGTCGCTGGCCTCGTTCGGCCGCCGGCACCTTCGACTCGGGCATTCTATGACACCTATTCTGCCCGTGACAAAAGAGCGCTCTTCAGCAAGGGGGATGATGCGGATCTGCCAGCAGCGTGCCGCGCTGGCCCTCGCGTCGTTCTCGCACCGCGCGCGGCGGCGGGCCCCGTCGGAGCGCGACGCCAGCGACCCTCCGCCCCGCAGCGTCCGCTTGGCTCGAGCTCGGGCCTGGGCGCCCCGCCAGGTCTCGAGGCCGCGGCCCCTGTTCCGCCGCGGCGAGCCGACGCCCCCGCGGCTGGAGACCCTGCAGTCGCCGCCGAGGCCCGCGAGTGCCGAGCGCGCGCTGCTGGGCGCCTCCATCGGGGCACCTTCGCTGTCCTCAGCCTCGCTGTCGACGTGGGCTCCGATGGCCAGGGCGGGTCATCAATGCCCAGCCTGGGCGACCCGGCCGCCGGCGCGCCGCTGGCTGGCTGCGGTGCCACCAAGCTCGAGACAGGCAAGCCTGGCGGCGGGCCCCAGCCGCGCGTGCTCAGCCGCGCGGCACTCCAGAGCGCCCGACGCAACGATCGGCGCCGTTCTCGAGCCCGTCAGCACTCGCGCGAGACAGTGGGGACCCTGCCGGGGGCGTCCTTGCTGGGGCGCAGCGTGGCGCGGCCGGCCCAGAAGGCAAGGTGCCGCGAGATGGTCCAGGCGTTCACCGACTGGACCGTCGCCATGCAGTTCCCGACGGCGACCCTGGCCGAGCTCGACCACGCTGTGGTGGCCTCTTTCCACGTCCTCTTCTTCAACGGCGAGGTGATAGATCGGGCCTCCGCGCAGCTGGCTGCGCTCGTTCACTGCGACCTTCGGGCCCCCCGCCGGGCGCCCGAGCTCTCGCGGGCCCGCCGGGCTCTGAGGGGATGCGGGAAGCTCGCGCCGTCGAGGGCCCGCCCCCCCTTGCCTTGGGCGGTGGTGGCGCCGTTCATAACCATGCTGCTTTTTCTCTTCTGGGTCGAGGTGGCGTGGCTGACATTCCGGAACTTCGCGTTCCACTGCCGACCGTCGGAGCTGCGGAGGGCCCGCCTTCGGGATCTGGACACCCCGCCGCGGGGCGGCCCAGTTACCCCGCGA